CTGTTAATCTCCACTGAACTCAGTTGCATTGTAGCTTTGGGTATTATTTTCATGTAAGGATAGATGAACTGGTTCAAAAACATGCCTCATCCTCATCTTTAGGAGATTTATTTTTCAATAAAAAATTTTACATTTTTTGTTTAAAGATCATCACACATTTGTAAAATACTGTGTATTGCTCTTTTGTGTATAACAAAAAGTTAAATTACAAATAAATCTATATAAGTTAATTGACATTTAATTTCAATTTTATGTATTTATTTTGGTGGCAGAAAAGCCATGTATACAAGGCATAAAACTTGTAGATACAAGGGTCTTGCAAATATAATATCTAAAAGAATCCTATAAAATCAACACAAAATAAAAATGGATGAAAGACAAGCAGGCATTTTACAAAAGTGAAATTCCAAATAGCTAAGAGTTTTAAAAATACATGACTTCATTATGATGAAGAGAAATGCATATCAAAACTATATTAAAATGATGCTTCATACACCAAAATGGTAAATATTAAAAAGAATAAAACCAAGTGCTTGTGATATAAGGACAAACTAGAATACTCATACATGACTGGTAAGGGAATAAGTTGGTTCACATGCTAATTTTTTTCAAAAATTTTTAACAACTGATAATCAAATTACTAAAATATTTTTCTTACACATCTTGAAAACTATATTTTCAAATGTGATTTCCCAAGGAGTCCATGTTGAGTATGATTTTCAATGACCCTGTGATGAGACTACTTCACTTATTACTATGTTTCTAGTAAAATTTTATTCAAGAAACTTGGGAGAAGCAGCATAACTGATATTTACAGTGGACTTAATTCATGTGTGTCTTTGTCCTCTATGACTTGTATATAGCCATTCATTTATAAATGAGAATCCTATCATTGCAGTGTTAGAATACCTGAGCACACAGTGGCTAAATTACAAGTCCAAATTCTCACAGGCATCAAATCACTACTATAATGATAGCACTATTGGTAGTTATCACAAAAATATGACAGTATAATATAGTACTCTTAATTTATTGAATTTCACACTCATCTACTACAACACTAAAATAAAAGGTTGACAAGTTGTTCAGAATTTACTAAAAATCTAGAATGGAGAGAATGACATTTCTGAGGGAAGAAGAAAATGACAATAGTATATTCCATATGCCTTCTTCCAGTGTTCAAAAGAAAAGCACCCAAAACATAATGGAGTCAATATTCAGATATCCCCCATTCTCTAGATATTATTGGGTTCATATTTTCTGTCTATAAGAAAAAGATATCTACTTCAAAACATCTCAGAGAGATTTTCCAACTTTTTTAAGTAACTCAGGTTTTTATTTTATTTTGTACAGTAAAAGTACATAATTATGGGGCAAAACATATTATTTTGTTACACATATACAATGTATAATGAGCAAATTAAGCAAGTTAACATATTCATAACTTTACATACTTATCTATTTGGGGAAGTGGTAACACTTAAAATTTACTCTTTGCAATTTTGAATCATGTAATAATTGTGTATTATTGTTTTAATTCTATTTTATTTTCAAATTATATTTATAGAAAATGAAATGCAGATAGTGAAAATAACAATGCAAACACTTATGTAACTACTACATGGATTTAAAGATAGAGTTTGTACTTGCTTCTCCACCTACTTACAAGTGAACAGAATATAGACACAACCATATTTCAGTAAGATAGCAATACTAATAGTATCAATAACTAGCATAATTACTAGTCACCTGGCTGTGCAGTTGATCTCCAGAACTTATTACTTTTTTTCTTTTTATCTAAAACTTTACCTTTTATCCAACATTGCCTATTTTCTTCACCTTCCACTTAGTTTTGGGAACTTCCATTCTAATCTCTACTTCTGTGAGTTCTAAATTTGAGAGTCCACATATAAGTGAGAAACTCCCATCTTATTCATGGCTTTCAATGTTCTCCTAGGATCCCTTGCCATCCTAGACCCATCCCTAATGGCCTTGTGACTCCTTTTCCAAACTATTTGGCACTTCTGTGCTGCAGTCTGGCTGGTCACAAATCACGAGCCACTCAAGCAGGAACAAACTTTATTTCTGAACTCCACCAGCACACTCCACACACGCTCCCCGAATGCCACGTGGAACTTTCCCCGAATGCCACGTGGCTCCTCCAGGAACCACCAACTGGAAATCCCTCCTCCGGCACTTCCCCAACCAATGTGAACTCTAGAGGAATCCCTGTGGGAGCTCAAGCGGAACTCAATGGGAACTCCAGGAGAACTCAAAAGTCATCATCTTAATGGCTCACTGGCGTAACTCTCAACCACTAATTCTGGCAAAAATGCCATGCGTCATCCCTACTCGGCTGTGGCCCTCAACACTTCTGCCTTACCTGACCAGAACATTCCTAAATCTGCTGATGTGGTGATCCCAAAATCGTGTTTCTTTGCTCCCCAGTTCAGTGTCTGAGGCTTATTCCACTGCTCTTAAGACTCCTACCCTTACTAACTTTGTAAGTCTTGCCAGCTCTAATTCTGTGACCTTTAGTCAGACTCCATGTTCTCCATTAAATATTATTTGTTCTAGTTATACATGACAGTAAAATTTATTTGTGCACTGTGATATACATAAATGGGGCATAATTACTCATTTTTCTGATCATACATGTTGTAGAATCACATCAGTCATACAGTCAGATATGTACATAAGTTAATGATATCTGTTTCATCCTTCCATGTTCTCCATTTTGATGATCTCATTGCCACTGTTTCTGGGCTCTTCCCCAGTGACACTCAAATCACTAACATTGTCATCTCTTCCAATTCTCACTCTACTTTTATTATTTTCCCTACTCTACCACACAAAATACCATCTCTACTATCGTGAGGGGGCAAAATTGTGATGAGGGGAGAGAAATAAAGAATGTCCAGGCACTTCTGTCCATGTTCAATGCTTTATTCACTCAAATTACTCAATACAATTTCACTCTATAGGTTCTTAATCAAGAAAACAATGATCCTTAATGCTAGGCACTGAAATAGACATAATCAATTCACAGCAAACAATTCTAGATTAATTCTAAGCACTGCAAACAAACTTAATCATGACAGGCTAATGACAAACATTCGCTCTGCATGCTAAGTTCAAAAGTCTTAAGCCTTAGGCTTTATGTCCAGCAGATGTACACTCACTCAGACCATGGTGTTCAGGTCCAGATCCAAGGCAGTCTTCTCCTGGTGTGAAGTGGACGACTCATTGAAGAGAGTGTCGTATGGAGAAGTTGCAGCTCTTACTAGGGTCCAGATGAGGTGGTAGAGTTTGAGAGCAGTGAGGATCACGCAGAGGATCAGGAAAACAATGACAAGTGATGGGATGTCAGTTCAGGTCCTCATCAGGCTCTCCCGCTTCAGTGCATCCTTGTATTGGCTGGCTGAATTCCTGTTCATTAGCTCTATTATTTATACTAAATTTGGGGCCTTTGACCCCCCTTTCAATCCTTATCAGCTACCACCAGATTTCTCAGTGACATCATTTACCCTGGGGTCAGAAACATCTGGTCTGGTAGTCTCCACCCTGATCTTCTCACCTTTCCCTCTTCTCAGGCTAGAACAGCCTGCCAGGGGCTTCAATCTGTTTATCAGAGTGAGGGCAAGTGACTTGTCTGAGGCCATACTGGAGGGCTCTGTGGGTGTGCCTGCTGAGACTGCAGGTTTCAAACTGAAGTTTTATAAACAGGAGTTGCTCAGGCTCAGGCCTAAGGCCATCCTCACATCTACATAGTTCTTTTCTTTATATTCCAATTAACCTCTTCTCAAATTTTTTGTTATCTTCCTAGGTTGGCCTTTGGAATTCATTTAATAATCACAAAGCTCAAATATCTAAGTAGTTTATTAAAGACCTTTTTTAATTATACAACATATTTTTAGCTTGAAAACCCAAAGTATTATAAGACATTTCTTAATTAAAGGCTTTATGGATTTATTAAATATAAAATATTCATCAAATGTTAATTGAACATTGAGACTTTATACAGCTTGCAATGATGAGAATGACAGATACCATGCTGTTTAGGGCTTCTGTTTCCATCATTATTTCAGTTTGATCTCATTAAGAGACTCTCCCAATTCTCACCAAGAATATTTTTCAGAGAAAAAGGAGAAACCATACTGTTGAAGAACACCTACATCTTTGATAATTTTCCTTTTTCAAGACTTCTGAAAGCCAGAATGGTAACAAGCACCTTTTATCTTTGCTACTTGAGATGCTGAGTCAGGAGTATCACAAGTTGCATCTTAATGAAATTCCATTTCAGGAAAAATAAATAAATAAATAAAGCTGTAATTGAGTAATAATGTGTTTCATGACATGTGTGATGCCAGGGTTTAATCCACAGCATTACAGAAAACAAACAGATAACTTCTAGAGATCATAGTCTGTTGATCTGAAACTGAAAATATGCTTGTAACACTATTGCTGACAGAAGGAACAGAGTTGGCATTTCTATCTGCCATCTCTGAAGATACAAGTTGTTTGCTTGTTGTCCCTTGGGCTGTCTGTTTTCACTGCCCATGGAGAGGTGGAGTCTATAGCAGTAAATGAAAACCAAAGAGTACCTTTATATTTAAAATGAGGAAATTTTCTTCTTTGTGACTAAATTCCTTTAGATCATCATCTTTGAGAAAGGAGCATAAGGTATAAGTTTCAGAAGGATGATTTCCTTAGGACTCTAATAGTACAAAGAGCCCCAAATGTGTCTGACATGGAAATAAGTATATATATATATATATTTTTTTTTCATTGGGATATGAAAATACAATTAAGTTTAATTCTTATGTGTTTTTTAAATGTATAAATATTTTTTATTTTCTTCTTCAAGTGATATGTTTATAATCATTAATGACTTGATTAAATTTGATCCTGTCCACAGACTTGATTGATATGATTTGATTTACATGGTCATCATAAATTATTTTTCAGAATGAATCCTTTTCAGGTACAACCAACAGGCTTTGAAGACGTAAATTTTGTGAATATCTCAATGTTTTGTGGCATGAGTAGAGACGTTCTTCGGAATCAGAGGAGAGCTTTGATTAAATGAAGAAAACAGGTATTTGATTTCTATTTCCAATGTTTGCTTGATGATGTTTTCTGATTTGAGAAAGACTATCCTTGTCAAGTCTCTGGTGTGTTCTTTGCTAGAAAAAAATACTCATATATAATATTATACATGGGAATCTTGAAATTTCCATGAATGTTTTTGGATTTTGTATTTAAGGGTGAGTAAATTTTCTCCCTTGAATTGACTGAAAATTTTATTGAAGAACAGTAAGTCCATCTGTATTTTCAGCCAAGACCTGTATATTGATTCAAATGCCATGCAGATGCATTTACTCTACATCATAAAATGACTTTAAATTCCCTGTCTGAAGATGAGTTTCTCTGAGGTTTTATATTTATTTTAAAAAATACTGTGGAAAGTACTTCAAATTAAGAATTAGGTATCTTAAATGGATTTTATTTGATTTTGTCATTGGTCTTATTTTAGTAATTTCTTTATAATCCAGAGAGATTTGAGGCAGAAAGACATCAAGTACTTTTACAAGAACTCTTAAACTCTTGAAGTAATAATTGATCTCTTTTTCCACATTTCATTCAAAAAGTGGAATATTTAAAGGTCTAGTTGTAAGGAGGATGTGTTTTGAGATTGGTATGAACTATGACTTTGTTCAGATGAAAAGGTTCTTATGGGGTCATTGAAAATTATTGCTTGTTCAAGTAATCAAGCACATCCTGCTTTGTGATTTGTGCCCATTCATCAGGAATTTGACCTCTATTTATAAATTGTAGCTGATATTTTTCTTCCAGCTTTGTTCTGAAGTGAGAGATAAACCATTTCCAGTATGGCTGGGTGGATGTGTCTGGGGTGATGCTCCATGTGGCATAGTCTCCTCCTGCCTCCCGATGTTTCTTATATGGGATTTTACAATCATCACTCAAAACAAACCTACAATCACTTGCTACTAAACTAGTACAACAATCAATGGAAAAGTGGTCCGTTTTATACCACCTCCAACCATTTACAGCCTGAGGACGATGAAATGGAACACTGTGGTCTCCATCATGTTTAGGAATTGTGTTTGTACATATTGCTTTACAGAAGGGACACTGTTTCCAGCAGCCACAGAGATGTTCAGAAAGGATTTTCTCAATTTCAGGAACCAACTCATCTATAGGCATACTAAAAAAATTCTGTTCCACTTTCTTCATTTGGGGATCCAAAGCTGCACTCATGGCTTCTCTGAGAAACTCCATATCTTTTATCTCCTGGTGCTCAATGCTTATCAAGTCTTTTCGTGAAAATTTCAAATTGTTTCCCAGGTGATCACAGAACAAATCCAGCCACCCAGATGCAGTGCTACTTGTATCTTTCCCTACTGGTATGGATTCATGAATGGCAAAGAGGATGACGCTCTTGATGCTCTCTAAACTTATTTTGAAAAGAGTCTTTATTTTATTATCTCTGTTGTCTAAACAGTACCTTTTGGTATGGTTTCCAATGTAAGTCTTAAAAAATGATTCTGGATTGTGAATGTAATTCAAATAATTGTCAAATGTTTCTTCTTCTGCTAGAGAGATGAGAATGTGTTTCTCAAGGTTAGCCCTGTTTCCATTAAATGCAGGGATGGTAGTTCTTATCTCCCCAGCTATCTTAGGGACCATTATCTCCAAGATGGTTTTGGAAATAGCAGGAGTAAGCTTGTTCCACAGAAAGTCAACAAAAGATGTGATGGAGGTTGCACCTTGGCAGGAGATCTTGAAACTCATGAAAAAATCATCTTTCTTGCCTTCTAGATAGTTTACAGGGTCATTTGCTCTCCTGAATGCCCTGTGCATTTCCTTAAAATGCTTTGATGCTTTTTTAAATAAACATGAAGATAATTCAATGTTGTATATGCTGGTAAATACATAGCTTTTGTTAGTGGGTGCAGATTTCACTTCATCTTCTATTATTCTCAAGATTTTGTGAAAGTCATTTGGATTATAATCACGTTTTTGACTTAAAATGCTGTTAATACATTTATTAAATTTTGAAAAAATGTTTTCAGTCACCGTATTAATGGATATTTTATCACGCATGTCTAAATCTTTTTTTGAAATCCAATTTCCAATTTGCTCAGAGACCTTGCCCAAAAGACTTGTCACCCTATATCTCTTGACATGTACTTCAAAATTTATTTCAAACTCCTCTTCAGTATTTTTCTTTAGATTTTCCACTATGTTTTTCTCTTTTTTGAAATAATCCAAAAGGATGTTTTCAGCATCTACATCAATGTTAGGCTCTGTAGCTGGAGGGAGATTTGAGGACACTTCATAGACCCATTTTACCCAAAGTTGATTGAATTTATCACGTAAATCTTTATCACTCAATTCTTTATCTTTTACATGTAAAGCCAAGTTTCGGCTCCTCTCCAATAATTCATTTTCATACTCACTCTTTTTCTGTTCTAGTTTTTCTTGATGTTTTTTGAGACTAATAAGCTCATGGGCTTTACTTTTGGTGTCTGAAGTAAGTGACTCTTTAAGAATTAGAAGCTTATTTTCAAAATTGGCTTTCCATTGGACAAGTGTATCACCCTCTGGGTCTTCAGTAAAATACTTGTCAAGTTCTTGCTTGATGGTTTCATATTTCTCTGCAACTGGATACTCAACTATGTTTGCCGTAAGTGTCAGAATTGTTCCATTCTGAATCTGATTCTTCAGCTTGTTCTGCAATTCTAGAATATAACTCCTGAGTTCCCAGGTCCAGCAGTTATACATGGTTTCCAGTTTGCTCATGGCCATGACCTCTCGGGTGTTCCTGAAACTGAAAATGAAGTTCTCACTTACCAGGGCTTTCCACAAATCGTGAACTCTGAATTTTACATCTGATATATTCATGAGGCTTCCCCTGGATTCCTGCTTGGCCATCAAAAGAATTCTACTTTTCAGTTCCTGGACATTGTGGCTATAGCGAGGATTGGGAGGGGCCATAGGGGGATTGCCCTCCCAGAGGTGAGCAAAGTAGTACACGTGAGTATTGACATCAAACTTGATGACATCACTGAAGCAAGTTACATCTGAGCACTCTTCTTGTTCAGCAGCAATTGCTGACATTTCATCTAGTCTCTGCTCTAACTGCCTTCGTCCTTCCATGGTTTGGTCGTTAGCAGTAACTTCTCCAACATTCTGATGGACGAATATGCAAGTTGGAGAAATTTTCACTTTCTTCATCCTCAGAAAGGCTTGGACAGCTATCTGTAGGATATCTTGTATTTCTGATGGATTCTCCCCAAATATATTGATCAGAGTCAAGTTTGCAAGACCAATGACAAAGGTGGCTAACTCATTGTCCCAATTCTGGGACTTCTTGCTGAGTTCTGGGGCCCGAAGTCCTTCTGTGTCTACAACCAGCACAAAATGAAAGCCAAGTTTCTCAATGGATGTCTCGTCTACCTTCAGGAGCTGCATGTAGGCCCCCTTGGTACACCTGCCTGCACTTACAGTGAACTGCAGCCCAAAAAGAGCATTCAGAAGGGTGGACTTCCCAGAGCTCTGCAGGCCAAGGACAGAGAGAACAAAGAGCCGTTTGTCTCCAAGTTTCTCAGAGAGCTTGTCAAAAACCGCTGCCACCCATTTTAGGGGCACATAGGAAGCATCTCCATCCATCAGCTCTATGGGGACACCAGCTATCATCAGGTCTGCAGCAATTTGGGGAAGGGAGAGAAAAAGTGTGTCTTTCTTGGAGAAAGTTTCTTCCAGAGCTTCATAGATCTGGCCAACCTCTCTAAGAAATTGCTCAATTCCCAAGGTACAGTTATTGATCTCAGTAGAGATGCATTCCATTTGATTTGTGCAGAGTTTCAAGGAGTTGGTATTTTGAGATTTTTGCTTTTCTGTTTGTACATTTGACCACATGTGTGTTAGTTTTTCATGCAGGTTTTGCAAATGCTCTCTAGTCAGGCTATCTAAAAACACACTCAGCCATTGCAAGAAGTAGAGTGAAGTGTGAGTTTCTGAATACATGTAGAGAATTTGCAGAACAGATCGCATTACATATTTGAGAGGAAAAACTGTTTCCAACTGTTGTCGCCGTATTCTTTGTTTTTCTGTCTTAATCTCACTCTTGTGTTGTTCAATGCTTCGATTCCCCTTCTCTCTCAGATGATAAAGTTCTTTGTCCTTCCTACACCACTGGTGCCACAGTTGTCCTTGAAGCGGTAGGAAGGTTTCCTTCACCTCAGACAACTCTGTTTCTCCTAAAAGAGCCATTATAATCTGTGCCATTTCTTTGCCCTCCTTACAATCTTTCTGGTCTTCATCAATAAGAAATCCTTGCTGGCGAGCAATTTGAGAACAGTCATCTAGGCTGAGAGCTGTGTCAGAGAGCTCTAGCAAACGTCTGATGGTAGTTGTGAGCTCCTCTGTCAATTCTGCCTCATTTCTATACCTCAGGCCAATTTTCACTCTTCTACCAGAACTACTGGGTTTGGATTTTTCTTTGTCATCAAGTAAGCAGATCAGAGGTCTTGATGATTGCCACAGGTCACAGACTATTTTTTTGTTTTCTTCATTTTCATCAGAAGCAGACATGAGAACCACAATGAGAGAAGAGACCTCCTACAGGAAGGTGAGCTGCCTTTTATGTTCCTTTGCATCTCCATGAAGATTCATGAAGGTCACACAGTTGTCAAACCTGTCCTCCTCTTCCCCACCAGGGCAGAACCAGCAGATTTCCACCACACCCCCCATCAAGAGGCAGTTCTTGCTGCTTTCTCTGCAGTGTCGGTGGAAAAACACATCATGTTTATGTTCACTGAGAAGACAGTTCATGATCTGAGATTTGGAAGCAGACAGACCATTGCCAACTCTAAGGAAGGACACAATTGGGGTGGAGATGTGACACATCTGCTGATTCTTGAAACTCTTCTTTCCTTGTGGTAATTTCTTTGCTTGCTGCCAACTTCTCCTAATTTGTCTGAGAGACCAGAGAGAGAATTCAATTTGAGAAGTGCAGGGATTTGGCACCAGGAGGGGCAGGGCAAATTGACAAATGGAAAGTTTGGTCAAAATATATTGTCTGGCAAAATCATCTGCACAGTGAAAGATGGCCATCTGAATATCCATGGGGTGAATGTGGGGCTTGGACTCAGTGGTCAAAGTATTAGTGAGATTATCATCATCTTCAAAAAAGTCTTCATATGGATTAATAGCTTCCTTTTCCTGATTAGAGGCACTTGGAGAGACCTGATGTTCTATGTTTCCATCACCTTTGAAGACCTGGTATCTCAGTCCATAATCCAGCATCAGTAGCTTCTGAAGGAAATAAAAGGGAAGTTCCTGTTCAGATTTGGGCTGGGTGTTGCACACAGAAGAATTGTAGATCAGATGGAAGTCAGGTCTACCCATCCTTTTTGGGTAGTAATATTCTAGGCCAAGACGCTGGAGTAAGTCCAGGAAAGCTCCATTTTTTATTACTTCACGTGTATTATTTATATTAGTTTCTGGTTCACAAGGCTGTTTCTTTTCATCGAGAAGACTTTGCAGCTCTCTTTTGACCTCATCCATTTTCACAGAAGAAATAGTAGCTTGATAATCTCCATCAATGAGTAGACTTAAGTCTCTTTCTAAGTTTTCCCAATCATGATCTGCCCCAAATTTAGTGAGGACATGCACAACTTCTTTAGAAAATAATTGTCCCATTTTTTTTCTCATAAACTTCATGCGTTGTGTCTTCACTTCTGAAGAAATAACTGTGAGCCCAGCTGTGGCTCTCAGACCTGTGAGCACCAGGAATGCATGTGCCCTGTAGCTAGAAATATGTTTGAGGTGCTGGTATTTCTTGAAGGCACTTTGCATTTTATCCAATAAGAAATTCAACTCATTATGTCCCAGGAGATTCTGAAAAATATTGTATTCCACCTGATATCCTGCACCAACTGCAATGGAAAGGAGCAAGAGTTGTACGTCCGGCTGCTCTGTTGCTTGCAAGTGATTCAAGAAGCTACTGAGAGCCACACTGACATCATATGTGGTCTTTATTTGAGCTTCTTCTATTTCTGGTGACTCAGATTTGAAATTCACTTCCAAGAATTTATCCTGGGTTTCCTTTAAGATTTTAATGAATTCAGAAAACTGGGAAATTTTGATTTGCTCTTGTTCTGACTCTGACTGGCTGAGCCACTGCATGATGGGGTGAGCCTGAGGAAAGTTTTCCACTTTATAGATGTGAGGATATAGAAGGCTGCAAAACTGAGTTTTAATAAATTTGATTTTATAAGTGAAATACATTTTTAAAAAGTTGATGGTATTGAGTAGAAAGGTCTGCAGAACCCTATCTGTGAGGCAGAGGTTAATCCACAGGTCATCATCTTTTGTTTTTTGTCTCAGTGTTTGCATGAAATTTATCAGTTTTTGAAGCTTTTCTTCAGGATCAGACACCTCCCAGGACTTCACTGCATCTAGGAAAACTCTAATTTCTTGCCTAACACACAGTAATTCCTCTCCTTCCTGGATCTCGGCAGTGAGGCCAGTCAGAGCAATGTAATTGTCTTTCAGGCAATTAGCCACCTTAAAGGGATCCTTAAAATCACTTCTGTGGCTGGAGAGGATGATGTCCCAAATGGGCACCAGCTGGAATCCCCGATCAATGACACACCAGGTTTGATTGCTGGCAACAAGGCCAGCTTTCCATTGATCAAGGTCGTCTGCTTCTGGTGGTCCACCTGTCTTGGACACAGATAATTGGAATTTGGTTTGGGGATTTTGGAAAGTTTTGTTCTCAGTATCTGCTTTTAAATGTGAGTCTGACTCATTCACGCCTGAAGCAACATTCACTCCAAAGCCACTGTAGCTGCCTTTTATGTAAATATCCAGGGTCTCTATTGCCTGTTGCTTTATATCAACCAGCTGATCACTTTGGAACCCCTTTGAGACAACCTTCCACCAGTAGATTCCTCCCAGGTGCAGAGGGCCTTGGTTAGCATGAGAGCCAAACCTGTGGAAGAATTTTTCAGTCCAGTGTCTCAGCAACTGGGATTCCTCTGGGTCTGTAATCTGATCCAGGAGGTCTTCAAGACATTTCAATTCCTGAAAAGCAGCATTGGACAACTGGAGTTGATCAACGGGGAAGTGGCAGGATGCCATGGGAACATAAATGAACTTTGTTGAGCAGAAATAAGAGCACTCAGAATTTGCTTGTTGAGTTTCCTTGGATTCTGAATATTTGCTTTTGTTTAGATCAGTTTCTAAACTAAATCCCCAACTTTTACCCTTGGCTGAAGTAGTTAAATTGAAGCCTAATTTCTCCATAGACTGGGTGAACATGACTTCTGCTTGAGAAGATGTAAATTCTTCAGTTTCCATCCGTGTGCCCTGCTGAGGTCCAAGGAGTGAGAACTCCTTGGGGACACTGAGTAGCTCCTCTCTTCTCTGCATCAGATCCTTGTGGTGGCAGGTTTTGTATATTCCCTGCAGGGCCAGCCCTCCAGACACCCATCTTACCAGATCTCTATCTGATAGATTTTGCCTGTGGGCCAGTATCTGCTCCTTGGCATTGAGTTGTCTCTGCATGATTTCTATGACTTCCTTGAGGGGCTTTTCAGGCACTGGCCAGTACTCTTCAGGGATCTCCATGGCTTGCCTCAGCTCTGCTTCTTTTTTCCTCACTTCCTCTTCCTGTCTCTGTTTCCCTTCTACTAGGAAGTTTCCCAGATCCTGCAGCAATTGTTCAGCCTGCTTCTCCTGCTTCTGCTTTCGGTTCATCCTCTCCACTTGTGACTCCTGTAACTCTAGAAGACTATGTGAGTAGGACAGGTCAAGCAGCTTCTCCAGGGCCCTTTTCTCCCATGAATATCGTTCATGGAATTTCAGCTTCTGGAGGTCTTCTTTTTTTAATGATTGTAATGCCTGGGCACAAGTCACACCCAGATCCTGCTGCAGCTTGGGCAACCAGTACTCAACATCCAGTCCCACTTCTTTCAGCATCTCTTGGAGATCTTGCCTCCTTTTGCCTCTGAGCAAAGGCTCATCAGGGTTCTTCTCTGTTGTGTCCATGACTGTATGAAAAATAGACTCAGTTAGTCTTAACTGTGTCCTGAGCTTCAAAAGTGTCAGCCACATGATGAAAAGCATGAATATATTAGTAAAGCTAGTCTCCAAGGCTTTCTCATCCCCTGTTTTACCTGCTCTAAAACACATTTTTTTATCATGATCTTTATGTGTATGTTCTAGACATCACTGAGGATTTTGTCAATATAGACTCTTTTTAAAATTGCCATGGTGAATTGCAACTTAATAGCCTGATTTGGGCACTTACTACACAAACTGAATTGCATGAAAATTATGAGACAGAGGCATAGAGTTTGGAATATCCATGAGTTTCTAATGTTGATGCTTATTTTTTTAAACTAAAGCAGTATCACCATTATGTTTCTTCTATTATTTTTCTTTGAATCACTTAATTCCTACCACTCTGTCAATTCTTCTTAGGTTATTTAATGCTTGTTTGTTCTCTTGTTCTTTAAAATGAGCTTCTAACATGATTTATACTTCTAAATCACTACTTATGTTTCATCTTCACTGAATTAATATTATCTGCATGAAGAGTTATTTATATATAGATGTCATTCTAATCTATGTACAGAGTTTTCTGTCTTTTCCTCAATCCAGGGTTGAATTAGTGTCTTGCATCCACTCCACCTTCAGTGCATATTCTTGGATGTCAGATGAGATATAGTTTCCTTTCTTCTGATTTTATACATTATTCAGGTTTTTATTCCTCCTATAATTCCTTTACCAATAAGTGGCACTAGATACTTGCTCAATGGATATCCCATATTTTTATATTCCTATGAATATGAATTTATTACACCATGTCTTTTCAATTTATCTTCTTAAATCTCTTTTTTAGTTAAATTTTTTAATTTTTAAAATTTTTATTGGATATTATAATTATACATAATAGTGGGAGTCATTATGCCATATTCAAACATGCACATAAGAGAATTTGATCAATCTCATTCTGCAGTGCCTTCCTTTCCTTTCCCACCCTTACATCCTCTGATCCACTTGATCTACATGACTGATCTCCCTTCTATTATTGTTATGCTTATTAGTTCAATTAGTATAATATGTAAAGTTGGGTTTTTTCATCGTGTAACCATACACAGTATAGTATATTTTGATAGGTTTTGTTCTTCAGTACTTCTGCATGTCATTTCATCTTCCAATCCTTTAATCCCTATCATCTTTTCTGTTTCTCTTCCTTCTATTTTCATGAGATCCCTATTTTTATTAATTTCCTTTATTTCTCTCTAGCTTCTCCAATGAAAGAAAACATTCAATTTTTTTTTTCTTTCTAGGACTGGCTTAATACCTCTAGTATGATGTTCTCGTTTCATCCTTTTACTAGGAAATGACATAACTTCATTGTTATTTATGGCTGAATAAAAATCCATTGTGTATATACCACATTTTCTTTATCTTTTTTTCTGTTGACATATGCCTTGGCTGATTTAATAACTTGGTTATTATGAATTTCATGGAGATAAGTATTGACATGCATGTATCATTCTAGTATGATGATTTTAGTTATTTTGGATAATGTGAAAGGTGTTGTATAGTGAGGTCATATAGTTGTTTCATTCCTACACTTTGGAAGAATCTCCATACTGCTTTCTACAGGTGATGTGCCAATATGCAGTTTAAAGAATAATGTATGAATGTACCTTATTTTATATCACATTCTTACAAGCATTTATTCTTATTTCCATGCTTGATGTTAAAACTCCCTTTATTCTTCTTTCTTTTTACTCCCTACACTCTGTGTTTTAGATTTTTCTTTCACTTGTCTTGGATTAATAATCTTCTCATCTGCTGTGGTTTGAATGTTTGTACCCTACACAATTCTTTGAAATTTGCCAATTAGCAGTATTAAGAGGTGGTATCCTTAAGAGGTGATTACAGCATGAAGACTATTCCCTTGTGGATGGGAAAACTCCATTTTAAAGGATAATTTCATCCCCCTTTGGCCTTTTTTGTCCTTCTTCTTTCCATTTGTGTTAACACAATAAGAAGGTTCTGTTCAGATGTCTGTGCCCTGATCTTGGACATTCCAGCCTCCAGAACTGTGAGTCAATGTGTAATAGGGTTACTTTCAAGTCACTGGGGTCAAATTTATGCTTCAAATATAAACCTGTTGCCTGACTACCAGTGGCTTATTTTAAAACTGACATTTTTCTTTCTTCTCCTCTTTTCTTTCTTTTCCTCCCAATCTGTGATAGGAAGCAGGAGTATTCCTGTCCTAACCCAATATCTTCCCTTTTCCTCATTATCCAGAAGAACAAAGATACTCTGGACTCAAAACTGGAACAACAGATTGTTTAAGGATATAACTTATTAGATCTACTGATAGCAATACTTGGGAAACATCCCTCATGTATCTTTATTTAAAAAATCCTCTATTCCCCCTGACAGTTAGAATGGTTGCCTATGTGATGTGAGTCTCTTGCATTTATCCTTTACTAACAAAGCAATAAAACCTTTCTTTTTTCTCAAAACTTAGTCTTTGTTATTGGATCAGCACCATGGACAAGACAAGGATGGTTTAGAAGTATATAAAATGGCTTGATTAACCTGCCACCCTGCTTACATTGGCACCTTTACTGCAGAGCTTCTGATGAGCGTGGGGTCAGTAGTAACTTGGTATATTCTCACCACTCAGAATATGTTGCTAAATTTAAGAGGTTTAATAAAAGCAGAGTTCATGACTTCCTATAAGGAGACTTTGAGCACTAGTTTGTGAGAGAATTGGGAGACCATGTCAATATTCAGGGATCTGAGCCATGTTTCTGTACTAGAGTACATATATAAAACTGGCAATGCATTGGTCTTCAAAATTATTTGGAGAGTAACATCATTTGTGGACATGGGAACTGTATATTCTTAGTTATGTGGTAATCCTGAAAAATTATCAGGTAGGTTCACTCCTATTAATAAATAAAATAGGAGTTTTGAGCCATAGCACCAATGCTGTAGCCTGGAAATTTGTTGCCCACCCTCTTCCTGGTGTTCATAGCTCCCATTCCTGAATACATTTTTAAGTATTGATAAATACCTACAAACTACCAGAGGTGAGTTCTGTTTGCATTTCTGGGAGATTAAGCAGGTGTCAGCTAGAAAGCCATTATTAAAGGGGCATGCAACACATCCTCCTATTCTTTGTGTAGCTGCCACCAAATAATACTGGCTAACTATTGGCCATTGAGAGATAACATAGACCACACATGAGATGACTAATGTAAACATAATTTACCCAAATGACAGTCCTTTTAATTTCACCACGCGCCTGGTAAGAAATACAGATGGAACTTAGTACAAAACAGTAAATCACAAGAATTCAATAAGATGATCTTTCCACTTTATGTAGCTGTTCCCAAGATAGCTCCCATTCTAGAAGAGCTTGGTACTCCATTTGGAATATTCCATTATATACTAGATACTTTTAACCCCTTTTATAGCTGAGATATATCTCCTGACAGTCAACATCCATTTTTCTTTACATGAAAAGACTGACAATGGACCTTTATGCTGTTACCACAGAAATATCTCCATAACCCCACTGTTTGCCATGATAAGGCAATGTACCCAATTTTGACTTTCACTGATTAAAATGTTTACATAATGCTAGATTGAATGTTTTTCAGTATGCACTGAAGCTGTTCCCTGCTTTTGACTCCTTTGTAAGGGAAAGGGTGGGCCATAATCACCAATAAAATACAGGACCCTGGTTTATTGATGAAATGATTGTGTTTTCTGGTCAGATAAGACAAAGATTTACTAGAGGCTGTAATAGGCGAAGTTCTGTCACTTCCACTTTCCAACACAGGAAAGCAAGCTCACGAATTTGTGGGGCAACTGGAGGGCTTTCCACATTTACCTTGCTCAACTGTGACCCCTATATCATTTATGTAGTAGGGCTTTCATATATAAATAGACTGTCCAATATCTTGAAGTATTTAATCAGGCCAAGCAAACAGGAAGATAGGAACAAGCCCTTGAAACATAGACACATGGAAGCTTGCTGAGATTTCTGTCCATGTGTCTCCAGATGACTTTGAATGGGGCCTATGGAGGCAAATTAAGGAACATAAGATGTCTGTTGCATTCTGACTACACATATAGATGGAAGCACAGAAACATTATACCCCGTTTGAAACATAATAGTGTGCTATTTATGCTGCCCTTGTTGCTACAGAGCCTATCACCAGAGAACTACCAGTCAAGGTCATTCTGCTGGCAAAGATAAGCCTGCTGGAGGAAGCCAGAACAGAAAAATTACCAATTGGCTACATTGGACATTAAAGCCTGAAAGTCAAAAGATTATGTGAGCAGCTGGGACACACACATGGGACTGTTCATAAAAATGTCTGATGTTATTGCTGAATGTCAAAAATGTCTTACCTGCTTTCAGCAATACCCATGATGACTTAATTCCACTGAGGGGCATAGCAACAGAGTTAATGTCACTTTTCAGAAATTGCAGATAAACTACCTTGGGCCTCTCCAATTATCAGATGGAGAAAAACAAGCTTTAAATTGTGTGGTCAGTAATGGACATCATGCAAGCCTTACTCATCAATAAAGCCAACCAAAATTCATGTATTAAAAATGTTATCTGCCTTAGTTCCATTCATGGCACACCACAGGGAACTGAAACAGTTCAAAGAACTCATTTCACAGACCATGGCATATATCAGTGGGCTCAAGTTCAGGACACATTATAGTTTTTCCACCTGCCATACAATTCAATAGGAGCTGAATTAATTGGAATAATTTCCTACTCAAAGAAGGCTTCAAGACTGACAATAACTCTATGCAACAATGGATTGCTTGTTTGTCTGAGGCATTCAACACATTAAATAAGAAACCCCAATATCAGCAGCCTGTGGCCACTTCTATGTTAATTTGCCCATGACCAACCAGCATTGCTGTTGCCAAAAGCTTGGTACCAGGCCCTGGTTTATTGATGAAATGATTGTGTGTTTTCTGGTCAG